CAACTCCCAGAATTCCTGAGCCAGCATGGGGGAAACTTTGGCCCCTTCATGACTTGTGGACTTCAACTCCCAGAATTCCTGAGCCAGCATGAGGGAAACTTTAGCCCCTTCATGACTTGTGGACTTCAACTCCCAGAATTCCTGAGCCAGCATGGGGGAAACTTTGGCCCCTTCATGACTGGTGGACTTCAACTCCCAGAATTCCTGAGCCAGCATGGGGGAAACTTTGGCCCCTTCATGACTGGTGGACTTCAACTCCCAGAATTCCTGAGCCAGCATGAGGGAAACTTTAGCCCCTTTATGACTTGTGGACTTCAACTCCCAGAATTCCTGAGCCAGCATGGCTGGCTCAGGAATTCTGGGAGTTGAAGTCCATGAGTCATAAAAGAGCCAAGGTTGCCTACCCCGGCCTAGGCCGTGGTTGTAGTTTCTTCCTGGAAGTAGGAAGGAAGGATGAGGAAGGAGGAAAACAGACGGAACAAATGGAGCTGATGGTCTTTTTAAAAATCTTTTTTTTCTTCTTCAGGTTTCTCTACGCGAAACTCCTGCTGCTGCTGACCGAACTCCGGTCGCTGAAAGTGGAAAACACCCGTCAAATCCATCATATCGATGACAGACAGAATCTCTCCTCCATGACGCCTCTGCTCTCCGAAATTATCAGCTAAAAAACAAACAAACCCTGGATTGGGAGAATCTCTGCTTGGCAACAATCCTTGAAGGCCGAGCCGGGTGGTCCTCGAATTACAGACCGTTCATTTAGCGACCGCTTCAAAGTGACGCCGACGGCGGGAAAAAAGGGGCTCGGGGCCGTTTCTCAGCCTCATCACCGTCGCGGCAGCCCCAGGGACAAGCAATCAAAATTCAGACACTTGGCACAACCGACTCGCATTTATGACGGTTGCCGTATCACAGGACCCCCTTTTGCAACCCGCCGGCCAGCCAAGTGAATTTTGCCCCGTTTTTGCCACGGTCGTTAAGGGAATCTGCCTTTTCCCATTGACTGGCCAGCCACCTGTCTGAAATGGTATAAGGTTTCCTGCCTGAGCAGGGGGTTGGACTAAATGACCTCCAAGGCCCCTTCCAACTTTATTATTACTGAAACCGGCTGACAAAGAAAAGTCGATGGGAGGAAGTTGGATTCGTTTAACGACCTTGTGATTCGCTTAGCAAAAGAAGGGAAGGCAGATTCGCTTAACAATCGTGGCGAGAAAGGTCGTAAAAAGGGGCAAGTTTCACTTAAGGACTAGCCACAGAAATGATGGACTCAATTGTGGTCGAGAGGACTACCTGTATAGCCAGGAAAAAAAAACCCACCCCAGTTCTAGCCAGCAGCTTCCTAAAGCTTCCCCCCCCTTGCAAATATATATATTTGTGATTCATTTAACAACTGTGGCAAGAGACTGTCGTAAAATGGGACATAGCTCCCTTAAGAAATGTCTCACTTAACAACGTAGTTTGGGCTCCGTTGTGGACGTAAGTCAAGGACTTTCAGGGCATCTCGGACTGAATTCCAGCTGGCAGATGTTTCTCTGCACCACATCTGGGCTTTTTGAAATGCTATTTCGCTAGTTTATAGCTAGCACTACCAGGAAACAGACTTTTTTCCCCCTGCTCTTTCAGTAGCACTTTAATGATAGCATTAATTAAATAAAAACATGGTTTTATTTTTCCACATTGGTTTTTCCCTCTTTTGTGGGTTTGCTCAAAAGCTTTCGCTGCAGCTTTATCAATCAATATTTTTTCTTTTTATCCATCATCTTTCTGTTCATCTATTCTATTTATTTAACTTTTATTTTTATCTTCTTTCATCTATTTGATCCATTTTATTTTTATGTCTTTCTTTCTTATTTTGTATCTATTTATCTATTTTTAGCTAATCTCTTTTCTACCATTTTCCTTTTCATCTATTTTCATCTATCCTTTCATTTTTATCTTTCATCTTTTCTTCGCCATCTTTCTTTTCGAGTTTATCCGTTTTATTTTTATCATTTTTTTTCTTTCTTTCCTTCCGTCAATTTTATCTATTTAGCTGTTTTATTTCAGTTTTAGATTCCTTTTCTACCATCTTCACTGATCCTATGTTTTATTTTCATCTGTCTTTTTTCCTCTGTCATCTTTCTTTTCATACATTTTCACCTCATTTTATCGATTTGATTTTTATTTATCGCCTTGTCTTTTTTTACCCGATTTTTCTTTACGTCGCTTTTTATCTCTTTTCATTTTGATCCGCCATCTTTCCCAGGTTTATCTATTTTCTTTTTAATCTATTGTTATCTATTTCTCTCTTTTACTTTTTTTTAACCTATTGTCCGTTCTTAGCATCTGTCGGTTTTCTTCTCCACGCTCACAAAGGGCAGGAAAGGCATCACTAAAGGACAGAAATGGTATAGGGTTTCCTGCCTGAGCAGGGGGTTGGACTAGATGACCTCCCAGGTCCCTATCCATAAAGTTTGAGAAAAGGAGAGCCGTTTCCCCTCTATGAACTATCAAACAAAGGAGCTAAAGAACCAGACCTAGATAAGCCCAGTCTCATGATTTTAATCGTATTTAGACTCACCATTGCACAGAAGTCGTAATTCGGCTTTTTGGTCCCTGCCCTGAAGAAGCCGGATAGCACAAATGCTCCCGAGACACAGCAGCTGAGTTGGAGGGGGTCTTCCGAATTTCAGGACCCCCCATGTCACCCACACAAAATGGCGCCGATTCCTCGCTGGGGAATCCGGTGATCAGAACTGTCGAAAGGCCACCGAACGAAGGAAGCTTTGCGACCACCCAACCCAAAATCCTGTGCCCGGCTTGAACTTTGCCCTAAGCCGACCGAAATCGGAGTTCCGGGGAAGAAACGGGCACCCTGGCACCAGGGGTGTGGTTTCCTTCCGGGCAGGAATTGTGCACAGGCCCACGGAGGCGGTCGTGGCATCGCCACGCATCTGCCCTGCACGGGCACCCATGCCCTCGCGCCCATCATCCAGGGGTGCAACGCTCAAACCGAGCGATCCCCCCCCACTTTTCAAGCCCAACCGCCCCGCCTTTGTAACAGAGCCAGGCCGGTGTGCAGGCACTCAACCCACAATGATGCTGAACCCACAATGGAACCGGTGTTTCCAATGGTTGAGGAAGGCGCCCAGCGCTAAGGTCACGGGCAAGGGGGGGATTTTCTTCTCCAGAACTGCTCCCACGCGCCAGTTACTGTCCAGAAGGCCTGAAGGAAGAAGAGTAGAGAGCCATTAGGAGCAGCTTGGTCTAGTGGTTAAGGCCCCGGGTTAGGAACCAGGAGATGGCGAATTCTAGTCTTGCCTTAGGTGGGAAAGTTGACTGGGGGACTTTGGGCCAATCGCCAGGAGACTGGGACTTCTAGTCCCGCCTTAGGCATGAAAGCTGGCTGGTGACTTAGGGCCAATCACCAGGAGACTGGGACTTCTAGTCCCACCTTAGGTATGAAAGCCAAATGGTTGACTTTGGGCCAATCACCAGGAGACAGAGTTCTAGTCACATCTTAAGACAAGAAAACCAGCTGGGTGACTTTGGGTCAATCACTAGTAGACTGGGAGTTCTAGTCCCACCAGAGGCATGGAAGCCATTCGTAGCAGTTTGGTCTAGTGGTTAAGGCTCCGGGTTAGAAAACAGGAGGTGATGAGTTCTAGTCTTAGGCAGGAAAGCTGATTGGGTGACTTTGGTCCAATCATCAGGAGACTGGGAGTTCTAGTCCCACCTTAGACATAAAAGCTGACTGGGTGACTTTGGGCCAATCGCCAGGAGACTGGGACTTCTAATCCTGCCTTAGGCATGAAAGCCAAATGGTTGACTTTGGGCCAGTCACTAGGAGACGGTGAGTTCTAGTCCCACCTTAGACAGGAAAGCTGATTGGGTGACTTTGGGCCAATCACCAGGAGACGGTGAGTTCTAGTCCCACCTTAGACAGGAAAGCTGATTGGGTGACTTTGGGCCAATCACCAGGAGACGGGGAGTTCTAGTCCACCTTAAAACGAAAGCCGACTGATTGACTTTGGGCCCATCGTGAGTAAATTGGGAGTTCTAGTCCTGCCTTAGACAAGAAAACGTTTGGCACGCAAAATGAGAAAGAACTCCTGTCCCTTAAACGGCGAAGGACAGTTGGAGAGCTGGATCTGTTGGTGGTTTAATGTCGCTCACCCTTGAAGGTCATGTTGGCTTCGGGCAGGGTGAGCTGATAGCCAAAGGCAAAGCTTGTGTCCTGAAGCCGGGTGTTAGCCTCAAATTCCACTCCCAGCTGAATCTGCCAAAGCAAGAAAACAAAAATCGAAGTCAAACTGAAAGGCTATTGCGACCCAGGAAAAGGAGAAGGAAGAGACGAGGAAGGAAGAAGTGAAGGAGAGATGAAGGGAGAGAAGGTGGTGAGGGAGAAAGAGAAGGCGGAGAAGAAAGACAGAAAGGGGGAAGAATAAGAGAAGAAAGATAGAGGAAGAGGAGAAGGAAAAGAAAAAACAAAGAAAGGAAGAACGCGAGGAATATTAGAAGGAGAAAGAGAAGGAAAGATGAGGATTGGGAGGAGGAGGAGGAGGAAGAAGAGAAGAAACAAAGAAAGAGGTGGAAACTAGCAGGAGAAAGAGGAGAGGAGGAGAAGAAAAGAAAAACCAAGATTCGAAGGAGGATGACTAGAAGGAGAAAGAGGAAGACTAGAAGGAGAAAGAGGAGAAGTGAAGAAGAAAAGAAAGATGAAAATGAAAAGGAGAAAGACGAGAAAGAGAGAAGAAGACTAGAAGGAGAAAGAGGAGAAGTGAAGAAGAAGAAAAGAAAGAGGAAAATGAGAAGGAGAAAGACGAGAAAGAGAGAAGAAGACTAGAAGGAGAAAGAGAAGTGAAGAAGAAAAGAAAGAGGAAAATGAGAAGGAGAAAGACGAGGAGGAGAAAGAGACGAAGACTAGAAGGAGAACGAGGAGAAGACAAGAAGAGAACGTGACGATCAGGAGGAGAAAGAGATGGATGAAAAGAGGAAGAAAGGAGACGGAGGAGGGAACAAAGAAAATAAGCAGAAAATGAAGAACGAGAAGATGGAGGAGAAGGAAGAAGATTACACACACCTGGTCATTAGCCCGGTGGTAGTAACTAGCATGGGCTCCTCCGAATCCTAAATTTAGGGTGGCTATCCATTTCAGAGCTAAAACAAGGCAAAAAAACAGGATTAAACGTACTGCATTTCTAACGGTTGGCAAATAAATGAAATATTAGGCACACGAAGCCACGGTAGAAAGCCAGGACTCCTCTGCTTGGTAAATTNCTCAAGAGGTCCTTTTCTGTTCTAGGACTATACACAATGACTTCCTGCCCTGGTCACAGGGTTGGACTAGATGACCTCTAAGGTCACTTCCAGCTTTTCCGTTCTAGAATTCTATACAATGGTTTCTTGCCCTGGCGAAGGTGGTTGGATTAGATGACCTCTGGGGTCCCTTCCGGCCTATTCGTTCTAGGATCCTATACGCTGAATTCTGGCCCTGGTCCGTGTGTGTGTGTGTGTGTGTGTGTTGTTGGACTAAATGACCTCTAAGGTCATATCCTGCCTTTTTGGTTTCCAATACATTGAATCCTGCCCGAGCCAAGGGGTTGGACTAGGTGACCTCTTCAGGCCCCCTTCCAAAGCTTCGCGTTCTGAAGCTGAATCCCCAACAAGCCTAGGATGGCTTCAGCTCCCCCTTTCTTTTTCCTTTGTCCCGTTTCGCTTCATCGGGGACCACCCCAGCCTTCTTCCTCCTCCTCCTCCTCCTCTTCCTCACCCATAAACCTTTCTCTTCGTAGATCACATAGAGGTGACCCAACGGGAGGAGATCGACCGGACCCAGGAGAAGATCGCCCTGACCTTAAAGAAATACATCGACCGCTGGCACCCCTGGCCCGAAGGCAGGTGAGACGGAAGAGCGTTGTTAAATTAGACACACGGTTGTTAAGTAAATCTGGCTTTGATCTCCCAGCCTGCTTCAAAACTGCTGAAAATGGAGCTTTTCCCATTTTCTTTGCTCTTCTCTGCAAATATTTAAAGCCAGCTCAAACGGCTTTTTAGTTTCCTTTCTTCTTCTTTTTTTTTTTAAAGAATTAGCTTTCTGCAGCCTCCAAAGGAAAACGGCTTTGGCTGAACGGCCTAGAAATTATTTCAAAAGGGATGCCTGAATTATAGGGAGTCCTCGATTTACGACCACGGCGGAGAGTGGAATTTCTGGCAGTTGATAAGCGAGTCACGCCGGATTTTGCTTTTTGGCCTTCTGCTACGGATGTTAAACGAATCACCGTTCTGGAGTGAATCACGAGGTCATTAAACGAATCCAGATTCCCCCCCCCCCAATCGACTTTGCTTTGTCAACCGGTTCCAGTCCATGGGCAAAGGCAGATTCGCTTAACGACCGTGGCAGCGATTCCCTTAACAACCGTGGTGGAAAAGGCGGCCAAAATGGGGCAAAATTCATTTAACGACCATCCGGGCTTGGAAAATATTGGCCTAGGCCAGGGGTAGGCAACCTTGGCTCTTTTATGACTCGTGGACTTCAACTCCCAGAATTCCTGAGCCAGCGTGGGGGAAACTTTGGCCCCTTCATGACTCGTGGACTTCAACTCCCAGAATTCCTGAGCCAGCATGAAGGAAACTTTAGCCCCTTCATGACTTGTGGACTTCAACTCCCAGAATTCCTGAGCCAGCATGGCTGGCTCAGGAATTCTGGGAGTTGAAGTCCATGAGTCATAAAAGAGCCAAGGTTGCCTACCCCTGGCCTACTTCCTGGAAGTAGGAAGGAAGGAGGAGGAAGGAGGAAAACAGACGGAACAAATGGAGCTGATGGTCTTTTTAACAATCTTTTTCTTCTTCAGGTTTCTCTACGCGAAACTCCTGCTCCTGCTGACCGAACTCCGGTCGCTGAAAGTGGAAAACACCCGTCAAATCCATCATATCGATGACAGACAGAATCTCTCCTCCATGACGCCTCTGCTCTCTGAAATTATCAGCTAAAAAACAAACAAACATCCGGATTGGGAGAATCTCTGCTTGGCAAAAATCCTAGAAGGCCGAGTCGGGTGATCCTCGAATTACGGACCGTTCATTTAGCGACCGCTTCAAAGTGACGCCGGCGGCGGAAAAAAAGGGGCTCGGGCCCGTTTCTCAGCCTCATCACCGTCGCGGCAGCCCCAGGGACAAGCAATCAAAATTCAGACACTTGGCACAACCGACTCGCATTTATGACGGTTGCCGTATCACAGGACCCCCTTTTGCAACCCGCCGGCCAGCCAGATGAATTTTGCCCCGTTTTTGACACGGTCGTTAAGGGAATCTGCCTTTTCCCATTGACTGGCCAGCCACCTGTCTGAAATGGTATAAGGTTTCCTGCCTGAGCAGGGGGTTGGACTAAATGACCTCCAAGGCCCCTTCCAACTTTATTATTACTGAAACCGGCTGACAAAGAAAAGTCGATGGGAGGAAGTCGGATTCGTTTAACGACCTTGTGATTCGCTTAGCAAAAGAAGGGAAGGCAGATTCGTTTAACGACCGTGGTGAGAAAGGTCGTAAAAAGGGGCAAGTTTCACTTTAAGGACTAGCCACAGAAATGATGGACTCAATTGTGGTCGTAAGTAGAGGACTACCTGTACAGCCAGGGAAAAAAAAAAAACCACCCCAAAATCTGTGCTCAATTCTAGCCAGCAGCTTCCTAAAGCTTCCCCCCCCCCTTGCAAATATATATATTTGTGATTCATTTAACAACTGTGGCAAGAGACTGTCGTAAAATGGGACATAGCTCCCTTAAGAAATGTCTCACTTAACAACGTAGTTTGGGCTCCATTGTGGACGTAAGTCAAGGACTTTCAGGGCATCTCGGACTGAATTCCAGCTGGCAGATGTTTCTCTGTACCACATCTGGGCTTTTCGAAATGCTATTTCGCTAGTTTATAGCTAGCACTACCAGGAAACAGACTTTTTTCCCCCTGCTCTTTCAGTAGCACTTTAATGATAGCATTAATTAAATAAAAACATGGTTTTATTTTTCCACATTGGTTTTTCCCCCTTTTGTGGGTTTCGCTGCAGCTTTATCAATCAATATTTTTTCTTTTTATCCATCATCTTTCTGTTCATCTGTTCTATTTATTTAACTATTTTATTTTTATCTTATCTTTCATCTATTTGATCCATTTTATTTTTATGTCTTTCTTTCTTATTTTGTATCTATTTATCTATTTTTAGCTAACCTCTTTTCTACCATTTTCCTTTTCATCTATCCTTTCATTTTTATCTTTCATCTTTTCTTCGCCATCTTTCTTTTCGAGTTTATCCGTTTTATTTTTATCATTTTTTTCCTTTCTTTCCTTCCGTCAATTTTATCTATTTAGCTGTTTTATTTCAGTTTTAGATTCCTTTTCTAGCATCTTCACTGATCCTATGTTTTATTTTCCTCTGTCTTTTTTCCTCTGTCATCTTTCTTTTCATACATTTTCACCTCATTTTATCGATTTGATTTTTATTTATCGCCTTGTCTTTTTTTTTTACCCCTGATTTTTCTTTACGTCGCTTTTTATCTCTTTTCATTTTGATCCGCCATCTTTCCCAGGTTTATCTATTTTCTTTTTAATCTACTGTTATCTATTTCTCTCTTTTACTTTTTTTTAACCTGTTGTCCGTTCTTAGCATCTGTCGGTTTTCTTCTCCACGCTCAAAAAGGGCAGGAAAGGCATCACTAAAGGACAGAAATGGTATAGGGTTTCCTGCCTGAGCAGGGGGTTGGACTAGATAACCTCCCAGGTCCCTTCCAATTTTATTATTATTATTATTATTATAAAGGGATGGTCTATCCGTAAAGTTTGAGAAAAGGAGAGCCGTTTCCTCTCTATGAACTATCAAACAAAGGAGCTAAAGAACCAGACCTAGATAAGCCCAGTCGCATGATTTTAATCGTATTAAGACTCACCATTGCACAGAAGTCGTAATTCGGCTTTTTGGTCCCTGCCCTGAAGAAGCCGGATAGCACAAATGCTCCCGAGACACAGCCGCTGAGTTGGGAGGGGTCTTCCGAATTTCAGGACCCCCCCATGTCACCCACACAAAATGACGCCGATTCCTCGCCGGGGAATCCGGTGATCAGAACGGTCGAAAGGCCACCGAACGAAGGAAGCTTTGCGACCACCCAACCCAAAATCCTGTGCCCGGCTTGAACTTTGCCCTAAGCCAACCGAAATCGGAGTTCCGGGGAAGAAACGGGCACCCTGGCACCAGGGGTGTGGTTTCCTTCCGGGCAGGAATTGTGCACAGGCCCACGGAGGCGGTCGTGGCATCGCCACGCATCTGCCCTGCACGGGCACCCATGCCCTCGCGCCCATCATCCAGGGGTGCAACGCTCAAACCGAGCGATCCCCCCCCACTTTTCAAGCCCAACCGCCCCGCCTTTGTAACAGAGCCAGGCCGGTGTGCAGGCACTCAACCCACAATGATGCTGAACCCACAATGGAACCGGTGTTTCCAATGGTTGAGGAAGGCGCCCAGCGCTAAGGTCACGGGCAAGGGGGGGATTTTCTTCTCCAGAACTGCCCCCACGCGCCAGTTACTGTCCAGAAGGCCTGAAGGAAGAAGAGTAGAGAGCCATTAGGAGCAGCTTGGTCTAGTGGTTAAGGCCCCGGGTTAGGAACCAGGAGATGGCGAGTTCTAGTCTTGCCTTAGGTGGGAAAGTTGACTGGGTGACTTTGGGCCAATCGCCAAGAGACTGGGACTTCTAGTCCCGCCTTAGGCGGGAAAGCTGACTGGGTGATTTTGGGCCAATCATCAGGAGACTGGGAGTTCTAGTTCCGCCTTAGGCATGAAAGCTGACTGGTGACTTAGGGCCAATAACCAGGAGATGGTGAGTTCTAGTCCTGCCTTAGGCATGAAAGCCAAATGGTTGACTTTGGGCCAATCACCAGGAGACTGAGTTCTAGTCACATCTTAGACAAGAAGCAGATGGGTGACTTTGGGTCAATCACTAGTAGACTGGGAGTTCTAGTCCCACCAGAGGCATGGAAGCCATTTGTAGGAGTTTGGTCTAATGGTTAAGGCTCCAGGTTAGAAAACAGGAGATGATGAGTTCTAGTCTTGCCTTAGGCAGGAAAGCTGACTGGGTGACTTTGGGCCAATCGCCAGGAGACTGGGACTTCTAATCCTGCCTTAGGCATGAAAGCCAAATGGTTGACTTTGGGCCAGTCACCAGGAGACGGTGAGTTCTAGTCCCACCTCAGACAGGAAAGCTGATTGGGTGACTTTGGGCCAATCACCAGGAGACGGTGAGTTCTAGTCCCACCTCAGACATGAAAGATGGCTGCGTGACTTAGGGCCAATCGCCAGGAGATGGGGAGTTCTAGTCCCACCTTAAAATGAAAGCCGACTGATTGACTTTGGGCCCATCGTGAGTAAATTGGGAGTTCTAGTCCTGCCTTAGACAAGAAAACTTTTGGCAAGCAAAATGAGAAAGAACTCCTGTCCCGTAAACGGCGAAGGACAGTTGGAGAGCTGGATCTGTTGGTGGTTTAATGTCGCTCACCCTTGAAGGTCATGTTGGCTTCGGGCAGCGTGAGCTGATAGCCAAAGGCAAAACTTGTGTCCTGAAGCCGAGTGTTAGCCTCAAATTCCACCCCCAGCTGAATCTGCCAAGGCAAGAAAACAAAACCGAAGTCAAACTGAAGGGCTATTGCGACCCAGGAGAAGGAAAAGGAGAAGGAGAAGGAAGAGACGAGGAAGGAAGAAGTGAAGGAGAGATGAAGGGAGAGAAGGTGGTGAGGGAGAAAGAGAAGGCGGAGAAGAAAGACAGAAAGGGGGAAGAATAAGAGAAGAAAGATAGAGGAAGAGGAGAAGGAAAAGAAAAAACAAAGAAAGGAAGAACGCGAGGAATATTAGAAGGAGAAAGAGAAGGAAAGATGAGGATTGGGAGGAGGAGGAGGAGGAAGAAGAGAAGAAACAAAGAAAGAGGTGGAAACTAGCAGGAGAAAGAGGAGAGGAGGAGAAGAAAAGAAAAACCAAGATTCGAAGGAGGATGACTAGAAGGAGAAAGAGGAAGACTAGAAGGAGAAAGAGGAGAAGTGAAGAAGAAAAGAAAGATGAAAATGAGAAGGAGAAAGACGAGAAAGAGAGAAGAAGACTAGAAGGAGAAAGAGGAGAAGTGAAGAAGAAGAAAAGAAAGAGGAAAATGAGAAGGAGAAAGACGAGAAAGAGAGAAGAAGACTAGAAGGAGAAAGAGAAGTGAAGAAAAGAAAGAGGAAAATGAGAAGGAGAAAGACGAGGAGGAGAAAGAGACGAAGACTAGAAGGAGAACGAGGAGAAGACAAGAAGAGAACGTGACGATCAGGAGGAGAAAGAGATGGATGAAAAGAGGAAGGAAGAGGAGACGGAGGAGGGAACAAAGAAAACAAGCAGAAAATGAAGAACGAGAAGATGGAGGAGAAGGAAGAAGATTAAACTCACCTGGTCATTAGCCCGGTGGTAGTAACTAGCATGGGCTCCTCCGAATCCTAAATTTAGGGTGGCTATCCATTTCAGAGCTAAAACAAGGCAAAAAAACAGGATTAAACGTACTGCATTTCTAACGGTTGGCAAATAAATGAAATATTAGGCACACGAAGCCACGGTAGAAAGCCAGGACTCCTCTGCTTGGTAAATTATTTTTCCCTGACTCCGTCCTGACTTGAGCAGATCCCGGATTCCAGACGGGATTCCCAGCCACCCAGAGATGTATTTTCTCTAACCAAACCAGACAATTTGGCCCTCTCTGCTAATTCCGATATCTCCGCCAGCCATTCCCAAGGTGGCTGATTATTGATGGAGCAAGAACGGAGCTTCTGTTGATCCATCCAAAGTCCAACTCAGCTGAACTTCAGTATTTGATTTTGGAGGATGCTGCTGTTTCAGTGTGAGAGAGTCACAAGTTCCGTCTTTTCTTTTCCTCTTTTCTTCCTTTGTTTCTTTCCTTTTTTTCTTCCTTCCCTCCTTCTTCCTTCCTCCCTCCCTCCTTCCTCCCTCATCTTTTCTCTTTTACTTTCCCTTCCCCTCCCTTTTAACTTCCTTTCATTTCCCTTCCTTCCTTCCTCCCCTCCTTTTACTTTTCCTTCCCCTCTTTTAACTTCCTTTCATTTCCCTCCCTCCCTTCCTTTCCTTTCCTTCCTTCCTTCTTCCCTCCCTCCCTCCTTCCTCTGTCTCTCTTTTTTCCCTTCCTTTCTCTCTCTCTTTTCCCTTCCCTTCTCTTCCCTTCCTTCCACTATTTTTTTTTCCTGTTTTTTCCTGGCTTCATCCGCTCATCCTTCCCCTGAAAAATTATGTATTCTTCTTTCTAGAACTGTCTTTGGACAAAGGTAGAAGAAAACAAGGCCTGACATTTACACTGCAGTTTAGGCTTGTTGGTGTTTCTTGCTGTTCTTGTTACCTCTGTTTCTGATAGTGGTGGGGCATTAATCTGATTCTCCCTCCAAGGAACTTACCGGTGTACTTGCCAGCCAGAGTGACGATGGTTCCTTCTTCTCCGGCACGTCGGTGATACACTAATTCACCCCCTAGGACCAACCGTGATGTCATGCTCTGGAGGAAGTGCGCAACAACAATAACTGTGTGGAATAAAACATGGCCAAGGATCGGTTAGCAGTGGCAGGGCCCACCACTTAAAAAGTGACCCCTGCATTAGCCATTCCCAGGTTGCAAATGCACAAGCAGCCATTCAGTTGTATAGTTTACCACAATGTAAGTAAGTAAGTAAGTAAGTAAGTAAGTAAGTAAGTAAGGAAGGAAGGAAGGAAGGAAGGAAGGAAGGAAGGAAGGAAGGAAGGAAGACTGAGAAAGAAAGACACAAAGAGAAAGAGAGGGAAGGAGGGAGGGAGACAAAGAAAGGAAGGAAGATTGAGAAAGAGAGACAAAAAAGAGAGGGAAAGAGGGAGAGAAAGAGAAAGGAAGAAATATTGAAAAAGGGAGAGAGAAAGACAAAGAAAGAGAGGGAGGGAAAGAAAGAGGGAGGAAGGGAGGAGGGAGGGAGGAAGGAAAGAAGGAAAGAAGAAGGAAAGATAAAAGAAGGGAAGGGAAGGAACAAAGGAAAGGAAAATAAAGGGGAAAAGGAAAATAAAAGACGAGAAGGAAAGGAAGATAGAAGAAGGAAAGGAAAGGAAGATAGAAGGAAAGGAAAGGAAGATAAAAGAAGGAAAGGAAAGGAAGATAGAAGAAGGAAAGGAAGATAGAAGAAGGAAAGGAAAGGAACATAGAAGGAAAGGAAAGGAACATAGAAGGAAAGGAAGATAAAAGAAGGAAAGGAAAGGAAAGGAAGATAGAAGGAAAGGAAAGGAAGATAAAAGGAAAGGAAAGGAAGATAGAAGAAGGAAAGGAAAGGAAAAATGGATGAAAAAGGGAAAGGAAGGGATGTGAATACCTGCCAAGGATTATCCGTACAGCACACTCACCCGATTGGCTGATCAAATCGGGGTTCCCCAGAGTCAAGGTGGCGGTGTAGTCCTCCCCACGATATTCAGCATCAAATTGCCAAGTTGTGAATTTGGCCTGTTGAGTCTGGAACAGGGTGAATCAGTCAGGAATTGCCTTTTTAACAAAGATTTTGGGCGGTGTACCCATGCCATCTTGAAAAATCATAAAACTGAATATAAAATGATAATAATAAAAAAAATTAAAAGGAGGCAATGACGGTTTAAATTCAACTGGAAAAGTTAATTAAAAGTCGGGGGGGGGGTTATATTTACTTCCAATCTGTGTCTCTATTTGCTTTAAAGAGCCTTTTTTTTAAAAAAAACCACACACACACAAAAAAAACCCCTGCCATTTGTTTCAGGCTGCAAACTGCAGCTTTGGGTATTAAAACGCTTGGTCATCTTTACAACGGTCCTGCAAGGCAGGCCAAGACGGCTAGAGGGAGGCAAAGAAAGAGCATCCTATTTAGGGCGGATTGGAGAACAATCAAAATCCTGGTTTGAATTCAGACAGACGCGGAGGGAGAAAGGCTGTACCTGGAAAATTGCTTTGGTCCGTATCCGCTCTGTTATCAGATGGAGAATTTGGGCACTGAGGCTCCCGACGTTGCTAATATCGCCAATAAGGGTGGGAAAAATCTAGGAAAGAACCAGGAAAAAAAGAACTGGATGAATTAAAAAAAAAAAAAGCCTGGGGGGGAAAAATATTCTCTTTCAAACTTATAGTTTTGGTCCAAATTTCACGGCTGTTCCAAGAAAAATTTTTCAATGATTAATTGTTCCATGGAATGTATTTGTTGACTTCTGTTAAAAGGAAAATAACAATTTCCCATCCCAGGAAAATGGGCTGAGGTTTGTCTGCTTTGAAGGTGCCCAAAGTAAGCCTTTTTCAAAAAGGCTGAATTTTTAATTTAATTTTAGAACAATTAACCAGTGGAACAACCTGCCTCCAGAAGCGGTGAATGCTCCAACACTGGAGATTTTTAAGAAGAGACTGGACAGCCGTTTTGTCTGAAATGGGATAGGGCTTCCTGCGTGAGCAGGGGGTTGGACTAGAAGACCTCCAAGGTCCCTTCCAACATTATTATTATTAATTGAATTTAACTCTTTTTAAATTGTTAAATGTTCTCTTTTACATTTTAAAATGAGTTGTTTTGGGATTTTTTTTATAAACGACTCAAGGTGGTGGACGTGACCGATACTCCTTCCTCTTCCTATTTTCCCACTCCCACACACAACGACAACCCTGCAAGGTGGGTTGGGATTAGAGGGAGGGATTGGCCCAAAGTCACCCAGCGGGCTTTCATGGCTAAGGCAGGACCAGAACTCACCGTCTCCTGGTGATTGGCCCAAAGTCACCCACTTGCTCTCATATCTGAGGCAGAACTCACCGTCTCCTGGTGATTGGCCCAAAGTTATCCAGCCTACTTTTGTGCCTAAGGCAGGACTAGAACTCACCGTCTCCTGGTGATTGGCTAAAGGGTCACCCAGCTGCCTTCCATTCCCAAGGATAATTAACTAACCTGGTTTCACAAGCCATACTTTGAGGGACTCGCAACCCAACCACTTGTCGTAACCTGGAAATTAGAATCAAAAAGACAATTTTGAATCCCATCTTGCCCGGAAATCCACTTTTACTCACCTCTGTGGGACTAAGCTGCTGATCTCCCACATAGGTCGTGTTCAGATGGTAACCTGAGTGTCCGATGGTGCTCAGGTGAACGGTGTGCGATACCTGCGGGGAAGCCACCCACAGCAGCTTTAAAACCAGACAGTCCTCAACTTACGACATTTGTCCAACATTTCTGTCACTAAGTGAGACATTTGTTAATGTGAGTTTTGCTCCATTTTACCACCTTGTTTGCCGCAGTTGTTCAGTTAGTGACACGGCTGTGATCCGCAAAAGAGGGATCGCTTGATCCCGGGACACTGTGACCGTCCTAAGTACGAGTCAGTTGCTGAGCGTCTGAATTTTGATCACATGACCCCGGGGTGCTGTGACCGTCGTAAATACGAGGCAGTTGCTGAGCGCCTGAATTTTGATTACGTGATCCCAGGACGCTGCGACCGTCGTAAATACGAGTCAGTTGCCGAGCGTCTGAATTATGATCACATGACTACGGGGATGCTGCAACGGTCGGTCGTAAGTGTGAAAAACGGTCCTAAGTCCCTTTTTTGGTGCCGTTGTAACTTTGAATGGTCACTAAATAAACAGCTGTAAGACGAGGACTGTCTGCCCAAGACAACTTAGCCTAATGTTTGTTTGCTGGCTGGATAGGGGGGAAGAAAGCACTTCCTCCCTCCATAAGTCAACAATCACCCTGCAAGGTAGGCTAATATGTTACAAGCACACTCACACACACACACACACACACACACACACCAACTACAGACTCCTAGAATCAAGGACACCCACCTGAAAATGGCTACTCAGAGATTTATTAATTATCAGCTTGACGCCTTCCATTTGTTGAGGAAAAACATCTGAAACGGAAGCAGGGAGAAAAAAGAAGAGTGTGAAGCCACAGTTCAGTTTATTTTTATTTATTTATGAAACGCCCCCCCCCCCCCCCGTCTGGCTATCGCCTTACAACAGAATAAAAAGGATGATATAAAAATCGGGTTTGCTGCCAAGGCCTCTTCTAGCCCTGAGGATGTTAGCTAGTCGGGTCACAAAACGTCTGCAAGAAAAACCACCCAACCACCCAAGAGTAACATGGACCCCACTGTCCTCCTCCTCCTGCCTGCCTGCCTGCAAACCCCACTCCCTCCCATCCCCGATGATGTTAGCTAGCTGGGTCACGAAACGTCCGCAAAGACGTATGAAATATATATTTTTTAAAAAGCGTGTTTACCTTTGCATTTGCGGTGAAGTTCATCGAAGCTACCCGGGTTGGAGAGTCCTTCGGCCCAGCGAGCCCCTTTCCGTGGGGCAGGGAAGGGGGTGAATATATTCCCCATGTTCCCCCCCACCCTCACCTCCTTAAGCCAGGCTACGTAGCCATGGCTTGGCCCATCGCCTTCACTTTGAGCATCCTTGAGCGAAAGAATTAAAACGGTTGCGTGGTTTCACACCCTGGAACCCCACCTTAGTGGCTCACAGGGAATCCGGGCGGGGGGGGGGAGAAGAAAAATAACCCTTCTGCAGAAAAATCAAATCAAATCAAATCAAATCAAATCAAATCAAATCATCAAATCAAATCAAATCAAATCAAATCAAATCAAATCAAATCAAATCAAATCAAATAAAAAAGGGTGATGCTTCCTCTTGCTTTGAGAAAGGTGGGGGGGGCACAGGCTGGGGATCCAGCAAGAAATAATGCTTGGGGGGGGCGGGGTAGGAAAACAGACCCCCCCCTTTTCAAAAGGAGAAATCCAGAGGGTGGGAATTGGCTGGAAAGGGGGGGGAGAGATGGGAATGGGGGGGGTCGGAAAGACCTCAGACAAGAGCCCCCCGCTCTTCCTCCTCCTCCTCTTCCTCCTCCCTGATCTTGATGGGGGCGGCCATCTTCCCCGCCCCGGGTTCTCCTCTCTTGCCCCCCCCCCCACGCCGCCCTCCTTCAGGAAGCGATTGGTCGCCGTCAGGCTCCAAAGACCGCCCCTCCTCGGAGGAGCGGAAGCCGAGCCGGGCTGTGATTGGATAACGATGTAGCCAACCGCTTCCTTTCTCCCGCCGGGCCCTTTGATCTCTGGCGCTTTGATCTCTCTCGGCGGGCTTTCCCCGAGGCGCCGCGCGAGGTCCGGACGGCTGGCGGGGCGATGGAGATGCCAGGCGGGTGAAAGGGAATCCGGATTAAGCGCGAGGCCGCCATCCCTGTCTCTGTATCATATATCATCATCTTTCTATCTTCTCTAATACCTCTGTCTGTCATCCACCTAGCTATCCATCTCTGTCTAATCCATCCATCCATCCATCCATCCATCTATCTTTCTAATACCTCTGTCATCCATCTAGCTATCCATCTAATTAATCTCTCTCCCTCTATCTGTCTGTCTATCTTCTCTAGTAATACCTCTATCATCCATCCATCCATCCATCCATCCATCCATCCATCCATCCATCCATCTATCTATCTTATATCTGTCTATCTATCTATCTAATATATCTGTCTGTGTCTGTCTGCCTATCTATCTATCTATCTATCTATCTATCTATCTATCTATCTATCTATCTATCTATCTATCTATCTATCTATATCTATCTATCTTCTCTAATACCTCTATCATCCCCCTAGCTATCCATCTCTCTAATACCTCCATCCATCCATCTGTCTTCCTAATAAATATTCGGAAGACGCAACATTAAAATTCGGTTTAATTCGGTTTTAAGGGGGGGATTGTATATATGTTCTGGTTTTAAATATGTTGTGCGCCGCCCTGAGTCCCTGTCGGGAGAAGGGCGGCATATAAATTAAATAAAATAAATAAATAAATAAATAATACCTCTATCATCCATCTAGCTATCCATCTAATTAATCTCTCTCCCTCTATCTGTCTGTCTATCTTGTCTAATACCTCTATCATCCATCTAGCTATCTGTCTTTATCTATCTATCTATCTATCTATCTATCTATCTATCTATCTATCTATCTATCTATCTATCTATCTATCTATCTATCATATCTGTCTATCTATCTATCTAATATATCTGTTTGTGTCTGTCTGTCTGTCTTTCTGTCTGTCTGTCTGTCTGTCTGTCTATCTATCTATCTATCTATCTATCTATCTATCTATCTATCTATCTATCTATCTATCTATCTATCTATCTATCTATCTATCTATCTTCTCTAATACCTCTATCATCCCCCTAGCTATCCATCTCTCTAATACATCCATCCATCTATCTTCTACACCACGTATCTCACCTAAGGGCAATAACCTGTCCTGCAGGTGTCAAATCCCCCCAATTTTGGAAAATGCCCTTAAAGCCTTCCCTCTCTCTGATCCCTGGAAGACCTTTATTTGAGGCCATTAGCACACAAAAACTGTTTAATTTGTATTCTAAAACCCACAAGAAGAGAACAGGGTGTTCCCTAATGATTAATCTTGTATGATTAATGATTATTCCCGGATCTTGAAATTCAGCGAAGGCCTTCAAAATTAGGTTGACTGTCCACTGTGTTTATCACCCGCCAGCCATAAGCCAACAACACACGTACACACACATCCCGTCCCATGATGATCAAAGTTTTCCAGAACTTTGGAATTTGAAAACAAACATTGGGACTAATCCCTGCTTCCCTGTCTTCCCTCTCTTGTCCACTCCTTCAGTTAAATTTGTTATCCTACGGATTGTGAGAATAAGGACGGGCATTTGGGTATTAACAAGGAAGGCTTTGGCGGGTGGCAGAAGAGATGCTGGCTTGTTCAGGATATCTGGGTCAATCAATCACCTGCTCTTTAACTCAGGGGTTAATCTGTCACTTGCCTTGAGCTCCTTGTCACAATTGCTGGGAGATCAAAACAATGCAAGGAAGTGTAGGATTAAATCCGATCTTTGACGTGTTCAGGATTCTTCTTTTCACGGGGATCTCTGTGGTCTTTTTGCTGGCACTGACACCCAGAAATGAACCATCTCTGATTCTGCACACAGATAGTCCTCGACTTACAACAGTTCACTTAGTGACTGTTTGAAGTTACAACAGCAATGAAAAAAGGGACTTATGACCCTTTTTCACACTTATGACCGTTGTAGCATACCTCATGGCTCTGCGATCAAAATTCAGATCCTTGACAGTGGAGTCGTATTTATGATGGTCACTGTGTCTAAATTAATTTTACTCTACTCTGCTCTATATATACTATATTCTATTCTGTTCTGTTCTGTTCTATTCTTCAATCCTATAATATTCTATTCTATTGTTTTCTATTCTATTCTGTTTTCCATTCTATTCTGTTTTCTATTCTGTTTTCTATTCTATTCTCTCCTGTTCTCTATTCTCTTCTCCTCTCTTCTCTTCTATCCTATTATTTCTATTCTATTCTATTCTATTCTATTCTATTCTATTCTATTCTATTCTATTCTATTCTATTCTATTCTATTCTATATTCTATTCTATATTCTACTCTATATTCTATTCTATTCTACTCTGATTTGGGGCCAGCTGGATCAGGAGGTGCCCTTCAGATGTTTCTCTGCCCATCATGGATTTTTTTTAAAAAATAATTCTCTCAGCTCTGTTTGCTTTTTTCTCTCTCCCACCTTGACATGTTGGAGGTTAATGTCCAGCAGATAAGAGATAACTCAGACATTGTACTTTTCTTGCTCCCAAATCGTATGAGCTGGCAAAAACAGGTCTTTGAGGGTGACCATCCCTCCCTCCTGCTCCAGCCAAACACAGGGAGTCCTCAACTTAGAACTAATACTTCAGTGGCCGAAGTTACAATAGTCCTCATAAAAGGGACTTACACCCATTTTCACACTTACGACTGCTGCAGTGTCCTTAGGACCCCGCAATCAACATTCAGATTCTTAGCAACGTACTCATGTTTATGACGGTTGTGGTGTCCCGTGTGTGTGTGTGTGTGTGTGTGGTGCGATCCCCTTTTGCGACCTTCTGCCAAGCCAGGTTAAAAAAAAAACTGTTGCTAAGTCAGATTTGCTCCATTTTACGACGTCTCTTGCCGCAGCTGTTTAGGGGATCAATGGGGCGGTTCAATTAGCCACACGGTTGTTAAATGAATCTGGCTATCCCATAGAGTTTGCAGGTCACAAAAGGGGACAGTGCAACTGTCATAAATGCGAGTCAGTTGCCAAGCATTTGAATTTTGATCACGGGACCGTGGCGGGGGGGGGGGAGACGCTGCAACGGTCGTAAGTGTGAAAAACATTCCTAAGTCACATTTTCCACGAAGTGGTCAACAAATGAATTGTAAGTTGAGCGCTTTTGAGGGGGCTGGACTAGAAGTCCTCCAAGGTCCCTTCCAATTTTGTTATTCTGGGGACGACCTGTAATTTTCCCCAGAGTGTTTTTTTTTGTGTGTGTGAGTTCTCCCGTGAGTTTGACGGTGTGTTTGGTTTTCGAAACAGGACAGTCTAGATGTCCCTTAGGAGACACATATTCAGCAAAGTCAGAAACAGGAGAATTAGGATTTCAGACTGGGCTTTGCCCCCTTGTAAAGCTTTCATGAACATTATCATGAAAGTTTGTACCTATGGGGAAAGAAGATAACTCTTTACACATACACACTCACACACACACAAATCTGTTTACACAAGAATTACACAAGCCGCAATTGTCCCGTTCCCAAGAGAATTGATGGGGCTGGCTGGTTTAGACAGAGGGAGGGGAAAGGGACATAAGCGCCAATCATTGTCAGAAAATATCAGGCAAGAGGGGCTGTGCTCTTGGGAGAGGGTATAAAACACCCAGCCTCTGCTTAAAACACATTTCTTCTCCAGATATTCTCTTTTAAATTCTTCACACAGGTAAGGATCAAAGGCTTTTCTTTAAAAAAATGAAAAGAAGTAATAGTAATCTGCCTGTCTGTCTGTCTGTCTATCTATCTATCTATCTATCTATCTATCTCATCTATCATCTTTTTTTCTTTATCTATCTATCTATCTATCTATCTATCTATCTCATCTATCTATCTCCATCTATCTATCTATCTATCTATCTATCTATCTATCTATCTATCTATCTATCTATCTATCTATCTATCTATCTATCTATCTCATCTACGATCTATATTTTATCTATCTATCTATCTGTCTGTCTGTCTGCCTGCCTGCCTGTCTGTCTGTCTGTCTATCTTCTATTCTCTCTCTCTCTCTCTCCTTCTCTCTCTCTCTCTCTCTCTCTCTCTTTCATTATTTAATATATGCATTTCAACTGCCTTTGCTAAATATGGGGCAGGCAAGTAACCAACTGTGGCAACCAGGTTTTTAGTTTGGGGGAAAAAAAGATATTTCCAACATATCCTTCTTCTGCACGGCTCTGTCTAAGCATAGATGTTGGCTTACTCAATCAAACCAGGACTGCTGCCCATTGTCAGCTCACTTCACTTGAATTACACTTCAGTTTCTGAGTGTGTGATTTGCTAAGACTTTCCAAGTTCCTGACCTCTGGATTGCCGATTGATTTGAAGTATTAAATTGTCAATTGATCATTTTTTTTCCAGCACGGTCAGAACTTCAAATGATCATTAAATGAATGGTCGGAAGTTAAGGAGTTTTCTGGCGTTTCAAGTATCAAAGTTTCTAGTCCCTATGATGGCGTTAAAAAAATAATAATCATCAGAAGTTCAACTGGCTGAGTCATACATTTGCAAGAGAAGGACAGCTGGATGAGCTAGGCAAGGAATGACATTTAATGATATTTTTTTCCCCCTTCTCTGTTTGTTTCCCCTTCTTCGTCCCCCTTTCTCTCCCAAAGGCTGAACTCAAAGCGTGTGAGAAAATGAAAGTTTTTGCCTTGATCTTCCTGCTGATCAGCATTTGCTATGTAAAAGGTACGTAAAAGTGGAGGGTGTATTTTTTTTAATAAGCAGCCAACTTGGTGCTATTGACTTCTGAGTAAATATTACGCCTGAACAGAGACGTGGACAGTCGGAAGGTTTGGGAAAGGCCAGCTTTCCACCAATGAAAAGAGAGTATTTGGAAGGACCCCAATTTTATACGAAATGACAGAATCTACCAGCTGATATTTTCAAGACGGGGTTAATGATTATTCACCGAAGAAAATCAATCATAGTTTTTCCCCTTTATGGGACACAGTCCTGTCCTTTTCTGGCATAATTTATATCTTTATACTAATATAGCACATTATGAATACAAACACAAATATAGGTTTAAGTAAAATATCGAATATATATATTTGATTGTTCTGAATATTTGATTTCTTAAGAATCAATAAAATTAGTGAACTCCAGGATGTAAAATAGCCTTTTTATTACTGAGCTTTCGTCAACTAGCTGTTGACATCATCAGAGTAAAGGCTGAGAATAAAGGAGAACCTACACATGTATATATACACCCACATATATAAAACATATAAGCATATATATAGGCTGATATTCTACTTAAACCTATATTTGTGTTTGTATTCATAATGTGCTATATTAGTATTGTGTATCAGTGATTGCATGAGCTCTGTAGAGATATTATTATTATTGATTGATCATCGCACAGTCAGCCAGATGTTTGGACTGGATTTGGCATTTTCGTCTACCTATCAAGTCCTTCCCAAGAACCTGGGATAGGCAGATGTGGATGTTTGATGGTATTACAGATCTCGCCGCAGGATGGAAGCAGTTTCTAGTAAGGCTGCCTTTTGCAATTGACTAATGGCAAATTTGTCAATGCCGATGATGGTGTCCAAGTGGTGCTCCAGTTGTTTTGGGATTGCACCCAAGGCGCTTATGACTATTGGTACTACCCTTGCTTGCTTTTGCCACAGTCGTTCTATTTCTATTTGTAGGTCTTTGTATTTTGTGATCTTCTCCAGTTCTTTCTTGTCTAGTATTCTGCCGTTTCCAATATTATGATGATGATGATGATGATGATGATGATGATGATGATGATGTAATCATTCAAGGTAGTGAACAGACCTAACATGAGCCAGTTGACTTTGTATTTTACACAGGTAGTTTAGTGAAACGTCAAGCCGAGGAAGAACCTCAAGTTCCAGTCTCAAACGCCTTCACTGCTCAGTTCACTGAATTAATCCGGAGGCTGCAACAGCAAACCGAGGGATTCGCTTCTTCCATCGACAAATTTGGGCAAACGACGGTAGAAGACATAAGGAGCCAAGTAGAGTAAGTGCTGTTTTTTTTTCTAAGTCCCTTCTTCCATTCTGGTCCTCGACTTACGATCACAATTCAGCCCAGAATTTACATCGCTAAGTGAGACATTGGTCCAGTGGGTCCTGCTCCATCTTACGACCTTTCCTGCCACAGCTTTTAAGTCAATCGCTGCCGTTGTGAAGTGAGGAACCTGCTCGTTAAATGAAGCCAGCTTCCCCATTGACTTTGCTTATCAGAAAGCTGCAAAAGGGGAATCCTGGGACATTGCAACCGTCGTAAATGCGAGTCGGTTGCCAAGTGTCTGAATGTTGATCCCGTGATCACGGAGATGCTGCAACGGTCGTAAGTGGAGGGAAAAAGGTTCCTAAGGCACTTTTTTTCCAGTGCTGTTGTAACTTTGAAGGGTCCCTAAAGGAGCTGTTGTAATTCGAGGACTGATATTTAGATAATGCCTGGCATTTCGGCGCAGGCGTAATTGATTTTATTAAACGTGGAACCTCCACATGTGGCGGCAGTCTACCTTAAAGCAGAAGGGCCCCGGGTTAAAAGCTGCTTGAGGTGCTTTTGTGGAATAGAGAACGAGTAAGCTTCTCCTGTTTGGTTTTTTTTTCTTTTTTCCTCTCTTTTTCCCTTCCTGCAGGTCGGCGTTTCAGCAATTTCACGAAAGCTTTAGTCCTCTCACCGAGCAGATGAAGCAAAACGTGGCCCAATTGTTCAACCTCCCTGGTCTGGCCCAGCAACCCGCCGAAGAAGGAGCGTGAAGTCGACTCTCTCAAAATTGAGTTCTCCGTTGTTTACGAAGACCTATTAAGAGATGTCTAAGCTAAAAATGCATTGATAAGTGTAATCATGAAGTTTTTATTGAATTCGATGCAATCTAAAAATGCATTGATAAATGTAATCATGACGTTTTTATCGAATTCGATGCAATCAGAAATGTACTAGTTTAAAATAGGACATAGTAAATTTTAAGGGAAAAAAGAGAAGAAATATTTGATGATGGAACCCGAGATCGGTACCCAAAATTTCTGTTACTGAACTGTTGATTAACCCAGTCACCATGTTGCTTTTCAAATACTCAAAAGTAAAACTGGAAAACCAATAAAATATTATATATATATATATAAAATTGAGTTCTCCGTTTTCCTTCTGTCCAGGGTGTATATTTAGCAAAATCCTGGCACTTTTTCCTGAATTGAAACTGTTGAGATCCTAACGCTGATAGATAAATAAAGACAAACCGGTTCTCCTTTTGGTATCTGTGTGTCTAATCTGATTGAAAACTCGGGGTGTTAAAGGGAGATTGCCCAGTGGTGTTCCAGTTTTGCATTCTGGACACCTACTTCCGGTCTGGTTTCCTGCTTTTTGGGGTGCCTGACTTCCTGGAATCCCAGCCTGGCTTCACCCAGCTGTCTAAGTTATCACCTTCGGGAACCCCCTGCCAGGCTTTTGGTCCTAGGGAACTCAAATCTCATTTAGCATCATGAGGACTAGAATCTTTGAATTGTAGGAGAAGCTCCAGGTAACAGAGCAGGTCATCTGCATACAGAAGGACTGAGGTCCAGTTGCTGACTCATCCAAGAGGATAAAATGCTTGAAGATTGATTTGCAAGATGAAGTAATAATATAATCAAATAGATAAGCAGACGGATAGAGAAAGATGTACCGATGGATGCATGGATGGATGGATAGACGAACAGATAGATGCAATAGATAGAACCCACCTCGGGATTGTTGTAGGGAAAATAGGGGGAGGAAGGAATATTAGATATGATCACCACCTTGAGTTATTTATAAATATTTAACAACAACAATAATATATCTACAGAGGTCATGATTCAATGATACACATACTATATACATGAACATTTTTCACATTTACGACCATTGCAGCATCCCTGTGGTCATGTGATCAAAATCCAGACACTTGGCATGTGAACGCTTGGCAAGTGGCTCCTATTTATGACGGTTGCAGTGTTCTGGGGTCATGTGATCCCCTTTTGTGAACTTCTGACAAGCAAAGTCAATGGGGAAGCCGGATTCACTTAACAAACCGTGTTACTACTGATTCACTTAACAACTGTGGCAAGAAACGTTGTAACGTGGGGCAAAATTCACTTAACAACTGTTCCACTTAGCAACAGAAATTTTGGGCTGAATTGTGGTCATACGTTACCTGTGTGTGTATGTGTATATGTATGTATGTATGTATGTATGTATGTATGTATGTATGTCTATCTCTGTCTCTCTATCTATTTCTCTATCTCTATGTCTATCTGTCTATCTCTGTCTCTCTATTTATCTGTCTATATATATGGCTATCTGTCTGTTTGTCTATCTCTCTATATCTATGTCTGTCTATCTATATCAGTGTTTCTCAACCTTGACAATTTTAAGGCATGTGGACTTCAACTCCCAGAATTCCACAGCCAGCATTGCTGGCTGTGGAATTCTGGGAGTTGAAGTCCACATGCCTTAAAATTGTCAAGGTTGAGAAACACTGATCTATATCTATGTTTGTCTATCTATATCTATGTCTATCTGTTTATCTATCTCTATCTCTATTTATATCTATGTGTCTATCTCTATCTATCTATCTATCTATCATCTATATCTGTCTGTCTGTCTGTCTGTCTCTTTCTCTCTATCTAACCTACCTACCTATAATATAATATAATTTAAATACACATACACACAATATGTGGCCAGTGCAAACCAACCAGGTTAGGCTTAGCGCGATGCGTCACTCGCATCCCCTCCCATCACGACCTGCCTTCTACCCGCAACTCATTCGTTTCACACGTAAGATACAGTAGTGCAATCTCTTCTCCTCCTCACATAGAACTTCCGCCAGCAGTCATCATGGCGGCTCCAGTTCTTTCCCTATTTTCCTCACGCATTTCCGGTTGAAGCCCTTCGACCTCGATAAGGAGGAGGACTGTAGCTGCTTTACTCTTACATTAGTGAAGCCACTTCCGGTACAGCCTTCCTCTTTCTCCCTGAGTAAAGATGGCGGACGAGGCGACCCGGCGGGTAGTGGCTGCGTTGCCGCTGCTGAAAACCAACGCCGGGCCGCGGGATCGGGAGCTGTGGATCCAGCGGCTGAAGGAGGAGTACCAAGCGCTCATTAAGGTCCGTACTTTGTCTACTGAAAGACACGGGAAATTATATTCCGGCGGTTACCGTGGCTTTTTTCAACGGTTCGCGTTGCCGACGGTGGCTCCAGAGGGTCAAACGAAGGCAGGACGCAGGAACGCGTCTGTTCCTTTCCCTCTAGTGATGCCACTTAATACGGTCGTCGGAAAGACGGTCAAGGGAGACAGCAGCCTCAAACTTAAAAGTTGGATTTGCAAAAGTTGAGGCAGGACCATACCTACCCTAAGCATCTCTCGTTGCTTTGCAAAATGTCATTTTTTGTTTGTTTGTTCCTGTAGTACGTGGAGAACAATAAGAACGCCGACAATGACTGGTTCAGGTTAGAATCCAACAAGGAAGGTACCAGGTAAGAGAGATAAAGAATATATATACATATACATATACTTGTTTTCTGAGGTTTTCGTGGGTGTTTGTATGTAGGTCTTTGGTTATTCGGTTTTTCTCCCGCGTAAAATTGGAAGTGTCTGAAGACACTTCCTGAAGACACCAGCCTGAAGATGACGAATGGGACTTCGTCGAAATGTCGCCAAGACACTTCCAATTTTACGCGGGAGAAAACCTGAATAACCAAAGACCTACATATACATTTACATATACAGATATATATTGAGGGAATGCTTGCTGCATCTGTTGAGACTCTAGAAAGAGTGCAGAGAAGAGCAACAAAGATGATTAGGGGACTGGAGGCTAAAACATATAAGGAACGGTTGCTGCAATTGGGTATGTCTAATTTAATGAAGAGAAGGATGAGGGGAGACAGGATAGCAGCGTTCCAATATCTCAGGGGCTGCCCCAAAGAAGAGGGAGTCAAGCTATTCTCCAAAGCACCCAAAGGCAGGACAAGAAGCAACAGATGGAAACTAATCAAGGAGAGAAGCAACCTAGAAGTAAGGAGAAACTTCCTGACAGAACAATTAACCAATTAACAATTAACCAGGGAAACTGCAACCATCATAAATATGAATCAATTGCCATGCGTCTGAATTTTGATCACGTGACCACAGGGATGCTGCAACGGTCATAAATGTGAAAAACAGTTACTATTTTCCATGCGTTGTAACTTTGAACAGTCATCAAAACAACGTTTGCAAGTTGATGGCTACCTTAGTTCCTTTTTTTCCTTTCTGTTTTTCTCTCTGTAGGTGGTTTGGGAAGTGTTGGTACATCCACAACCTCTTAAAATACGAATTTGCCGTCGAGTTTGATGTGAGTTTTACCCAATCTATTATTTGATGTTTTCTTATTCTTTTTCTGCCTTTTATTTTTCTGAATTAATTTGCGTTCCTGGTCTCTCCTTCTCCATGCTGATGGGGCTTCTTTCCTAAGAATGGCCTGCCACTCCTAGTCTGCTTCCTTTTCAGATTCCAGTTACTTATCCATCTACTGCACCGGAAATCGCCGTTCCAGAACTGGATGGCAAAACAGCCAAAATGTACAGGTCAGTTGTGCTTAAAATTCATACTTGTTAGAGGGTACTTGATCTGATGCCAACGATATCTCCTGCATTCTGTCAATTGCACTTTCTTAAAATCTGACACTCTGTCTTTTTTCTTATAGGGGAGGCAAGATATGCCTGACGGACCACTTCAAGCCCTTATGGGCTCGGAATGTACCAAAATTTGGACTAGCCCACCTCATGGCCTTGGGGGTGAGTTTCTTACATGTTGGGGAGTATTTGGCTGGAAGGAGAAGAACTTCCAAAGAAAAGGAGCAAAATTTGGGTTGGGTTGGATGCAGATAGCATAGTGACAGATTTCAGTGAGCAAACACTATTTTTTTTGTAATCCTTGACTTACAACCATTTGTTTAGTGACTGTTTGAAATTACGATGATACTGGGAAAAGTGACTTATGACCTGTTTTTTTGCAAGTTATGACTATTACGGTGACCTCCGTTGTCACGTCAAAATTGGAGTGCTTGTTAACTGACAGGTGTTTACAATGGGTGCAGCATCCTGGAGTTGTGTGATCATCATTTGCGTCCTTCCCAGCTGGCTTCCGACAAGGAAAGTCAGTGAAGGGACCTAGCTTTGTTTAATGACCGTGTCATTCACTTAAAAACTGCAGTGATTCATTTAACGGTGGCAAAAAAAGGCTGTAAAATCAGCTGCAATCTTCTGACCAGATTCCCTTAATGACTATGGAAAAAAAAAAAAAGTTATAAACTTGGGTTGGTCATGTGATGTCTTGTTTATTGACAAGCTGCAATTATGGGCTCAGTGATGGTTATAAGTCAAGGACAACTTGTACGCAGTTCTGTTTTTTGTCTAGTCTTGCGTGTCACAAAAACTCACTTTGTGTATTTTTGGTTATTTCCTTTGTCTTACAGCTGGGACCGTGGCTGGCTGTAGAGATTCCTGACCTGATATCCAAAGGGTTAATCGAACACAAAGACAAATGAAGCCCCCACCTCACTAATTCTGCCAGGACTCTCCGGCACTTGGATCCTTGATACTGACTGTCATATATTTCTGTGTCTAATTTCTTCTTGTGGATTGCTAGCCAATCTCTGCATTGTGTCTCTCTAGCAAAAACAAATTAAAAATAATCCTTCTGGTCTGTTAACCGTAACTTGGAGTCCACCGAGACGTATATGACCTAGTTTATTTATTTAAGAAAAGTACCAGCATGCCAGTTTTTCAGAACGTTGGACACCAATTGCAATTTGCATGCTGCTTTTTTTTGTGTGAAAGCGGTTTAAAAGGTTATTGAAAACACAGAATGCGAACAACTTGAAACAAGACCAGACAGATTGACCTCTTGAAGAACACGACTTGAGGTTTTCTGCCAATTTATGCTATAAAATTGGTACCGCTGGATTGTGCAAAACACCCGTGAAGCTCATTTCTGATTTGCAAATAAATTCTTTAGCTTGTGCTCAGAGGGAGTCTATTCAAAAATTTCGACACTTGGCATATATTTGCGTATCTCGTTGGGGCAAATCCACTTAGGGTTAGGTGTCCACAAATTCGGACAGCAAAATGGACATTTCCAATGGATTTACAGAGCATTGTTATGCTTAGGAGGGGGCTGACCTTTTGAGCCCACCCTATGGAGGCAATTTTTGTATTGAGGAATAAAGGGATCCTATATAATTATTTTCTCCCAGGAATCCCACTGGATAAAGGCCGATCATAAACATTGCAATGCAGCAACTTTTGAAAAAAACATGCTGCGGCCTCGCGGCTCCCCGTTGCCGCGGCAACCAGAGGAGCGCGTGGCTTCTGCCCGGCCGGGAGGAAAACAAGAAGCGCCTCCTGGAGGACGTTCCACAAAAAAAAACCGAGAACGAGACGGAGCTGCGCATGCGCCACGCTCGACCGCCGTCTCTCTTGGCGGCGGCGCGTTCCGGAGCCGGCCGACGCCAGCCTGCGCCTGCGCAGATGCCCTCGGCGAAGCCGGCCGTGCTCCGGGCAACGCGCGACGCGGAGCGGGAGGGCGAGGAGAAACAAAGATGGCGGCCGGAGCGGCAGGAGTCGTTGCCATGGCGTCGCGCCGGCGGTGAGGCCCCCACGCTTGACGGCCTTCGCGGCTCGGGGTTGTATTTGGGGGGGTGCGGGGACAGCGGAGGGGGCGTCGGGGCCGCTGAGGGGGCCGGGGCGAGCGGCCCACCGACCGGGGGTCTCGAGAACGCCGTTGTAACCGAGGTGCCCCGGCGCGGTGGGAATGCGGAGAGGCCCGTGGGGGGCGGGAGGGGGGGGAAGGGCGCCGCCTATACATTATATAGGTGTCACACGGGGGGGGAAGGGGCGTGGACAGGGAGGGGGGCATTATTATGTAACCTGCAGGCGGTGGGGGGAGTGGTGGGTGAGTCGGCCTCAGGGGAGGGGTCCTTGGGGGGGTAGGCGCCCCTATTTCGGGTGGGCAGGTGACCCCCCCTGCGCCGGGTAGAAGATGGGGAGGGGTCCCCGCCATCTCAGGAGGCGCTGCCCCCGAGGCTGGGGGACCCCCGAGACCCTCCCCAGCCTGCCAGAGGTGGAGGACTACAACTCCCATCGTGGCTGCAAGGCTTTGGGCCCGTCTGTGGGCCGGAGAGATGGGAAAGGTAGTCTCCAGCGCAAAGGGGCCCGCGGGGAAGGACGGGTGAGAAAAGACCCCGGCCCAGCCCCGGCTGGGGGGCGGGGAAGAGCCAAAATAAATTATTTTATGGGTTTCCCCCACCCCCTTCCAATAAGGGGTGGTTTATAGATGTGCAAGACTCCGATTCCCATCATCCCCCCCCCAGCAGAAGTGGTTTCTGGAGGGCTCCAGTTGCAGAAGTTGGCTCTGCTGGCTAGGATAAATTAATGGCAGAATATATGTGTGTTTGTGTGTGTGTGTGTGTGTGTGTGTGTGTGTATGTATGTATGTGTTAAATTTGGATTGCTAACAAAGAGTTACAGGCAAAAGATTTCTTCTTCCCATATTTGGACTGACCTGGTGCATCATAAAAAACCCCCACTTATATATATGTACGTATGTATATATGTTTTCTGAGGTTTTCGCGGGTGTTTGTATGTAGGTCTTTGGTTATTCGGGTTTTCTCCCACGTAAAATTGGAAGTGTCTTGGCGACGTTTGTATGTATGTATATATATGTATGTATGTTTTTCAAAATTTGGATTGCTAACAAAGAATTAAGGGAAAACTGGAATAGCTATTTCGAACTTTTTAGTTCTTATCAACCAGACATACCCTTCTGAGATTCGAACCTGGGCTGTCTGCATGTTAAGCACTCAAGGTAATATGTATTCTCCCTTTCTCTCTCTTCTCCCTCTCCCCTTTCCTCTCCCTCCCTCTGTCCTTCCTTCCCTCCTCCTTTCTCTTTCTCTCTCTTTCTCTCTCTCTCTCTTTCTCTCCCTCCCTTCCTCTATTTTTCCTTCCCTTCCTTCCCATCTTCCCTCTCCCTCCCAGACACACCAATAAGCCTCCCTTCAATTTGGTCCTTTTTAGATGCCAGGAACTACAATTCCTATTGTTCCCAGCTATGTTAATTACAGTAGTTCCACACACACCCCTACTAGAAAGTGTCTACCCCATACTTAGTACTTCAGCAAGAGCATGTAAGCTCAAAAGTTTTGATTTTTTTTAAAAAAAAATCTTTGTGCTAACAGTCTTTTGCACTCAACATTCCTCATTTCTAGGTGATTATCTGCTTGCTAATAAGAATATTAGTAAGCAGCCTTGGAGCTGTTTACTGTACGGCTCCATTGTTCATTTAGGGAGTTTCCAGTTAGATCTGATCACTTATATTCAGATTTTGATTACTGTATTTAGGGAGTGGGATTCAGATGGGAAATTGATTCCTCTTCTTATCCCATTTTCCTTCCTGGCTCTGTTCGGTGTATTTTTCAGGGGGGGGGAAAAGTCTGTTAATTGTCATAATTTGTCGCAATATTGATTGCTGATTGTGTGGTTTCCTATCCAGCACACCTCTATGGTTGCTATTGCAAATTAACTCTTTTTAAGGCTCATCCTAAAAGGATCGATCTAAGGACAGTTTATTGGCCCTGAAGCTAAAAATAGCATTTATTTCTGGGCTGATTTCTAGAGAAAAAAAACACACTATTCTTGAAGCGCATGTTGCTGTCCATTTCTACAGCTCTACTCATGGGCTGATGTAGCTCAAATTTTGAATTTCCCATTTTTTATAATGTAGCTTTTACTCATCTGCTCAGTCGGGAGATTGCTTGGTTTTCAAAAGGCAGCGAGCAGATTTTTTTTAAATAATTCTGGAACGACTGTTAGGATTTTATTTTATTTTTTGCTTCAGTTAATTTACACGTGCAGTTTTCTCTGTATTGACAATGAAACAAATGTTGCTTGCCTACCTTTAAGCTAGAACTTGTTTTTCCCTTGGAAGGGTGTTATTTGTCAGCCAGCGGGCTAGGTCGGGAACACACACTGCAAGTTTTGTGTGGAATTCTTCTTTGTTGCTATAGCCTCTAGTAACAGAATTTGCAAAACAAAGGCTGGGCTTTCCCATTCTCTCTCTGAACGCCCCTGAGTTAGGGTGGAGCTGAACTGAGTTGCTTCCTAACCTGCTCTGTTTTTGTAACCTGCGTCTGTTTTTGTAACCATCTCTGCGTCGTTCCTCCAAGTCTCGGCACCACTTCTCCATGAAACAAGAGCCCTGTGTGAGCCCCGCGTCCCGTTCTATAATAATAATAATAATAATAATAATAATAATAATAATAATAATAATAATAATAATAATAATAATAATAATAATAATAATAATAATAATAATAATAATAGAGTTGGAAGGGACCTTGGAGGTCATCTAGTCCAACCCCCTGCCCAGGCAGGAAACTCTATCCCATTTCAGACAAATGGCTTTCCAGTCTCTTCTTAAAAACTTCCAGTGTTGGAGCATTCACCGCTTCTGGAGGCAGGTAGTTCCACTGGTTCATTGTTCTCACTGTCTTTTGCAGGGCCACAGCCAAGGGGAAGCCCTGCGCAGTCAGCCACCTCTGTGAGGTGTGAACGAGGGGCCAGCAGAGTTGAGGGACTCTCCACTTGCCAGAGGTGTGTATTGTGTCGCTGGGAAGGAAATTTCACACACACAGACACACACACACACCGTGCTTTCTGGATCCTGCTTTCTGGATCTCGGTTGAGCCTCTGCGTTCAAAGAGAGTTGTATGAGAGGAAAGGCTGAGCTTTCACCACCCTATTAGTATCATTTAATTTTCTGCACATCGGTGGAAAATCAAAACAGAGCTGAAAGCAGCACAGAATTTTTTTAAAAAAAAAAAATACTAAAATTCTACTCCTTGAAAAAAAGGTTACTTGCCTCTCCTTTACGTCTGTCCTAAAATGGAGTCTAGAAACAACTACGAAAAGGAAAGGCTGGGATGTCAGAAGCTGCAGCGATGCTGCTTTCCTAAAATCCATTTTTTTTTTTCATTTCAGGGCTCTTCACATCCTTCTCTCCACGATGCCCCAGGCTTCGGAACATCGCCTGAGCCGGGCCCGAGAACAAGCCGCCATCACGTCCCAGCCCAAAGCCACCAGCAAGCTTCTCAACGGGCCGCGGGCCCCCAGCCAAGAGCACCGTGCCTGCTGCCCCTCTTCCGCCCTCTCCAATGGGCTCTCCACCAGCGCAGCCCTCACCATCACCACCGCCACCAAACTCCGGCCTTTGCCGCCCCGGCCAGGCAACCTGGAGGACAGGAACAAGAAAATGGAACTGGAGCGAGGCAGGAGCTCCAAACGCAGCGAGGCGCCTCGGGCCTCGGCCTCCCGCCGGGGTCCCGTCAAAGCCGACCACGCCCTCCGCGTGCCCAGCTGCCCGCAAGCCGGCACGGTCACCGGCAGCGCCTCTTTCAGCATGCCTCCCGGGGTCCTCCTGGGCGGGCCGGACTCCGAGTGCCGGCAGAGCAACCTGCTGCGCTCCAAGTCCATCAGCATCGGCGACTTGAGCCATCCCGGCAGCCGCGGCGAAGAACAGCTGAGCGCGATGCTGAGCCGGCTCACCCTGCAGGACCACAGCCCTTCTTGCGGTCACAAGCTGGGCCTGGGCGCCCTGGCCTTGAAGAGGAGCTCTTCGCTCCGGAGGGTCAACGTGAGCTCCGGCCTCGACGGGAGACC